ATAGATGCCTTCGTCGGATAACCAGTGCGAGCGGTGCCACAACGGCGCCTGCCAGGCCGCGCGGACCGCTTGGCTTGCCTCTCCCTGTTGTCCGCTCATTCCTGTTGACGGTGACGTGCTCCAGCCGCGTGCGAGGGACAGGGTGCACCTCGGGGGTGGGTCCATGAGTCGCATGCCATGATGTATTATCACAGTTTGCAGTGTTGGATTTGTCGTTCCTGTGGGTGTGTCGGTTCTCTTCAGATTCGGTCTCTGTTGAAACCATGTGACCCCAGGAGTGTCACCTAGAAGCGTCGGGAGTACCTCGACAGGTTTCATCGAGGTCTCAGGCCGAAGTAGCCTCGATCGAGTCTGGTGGTTGATATTGCTTCGCAATCATTCCGGATCCGAATCCGAATCCGAATCATGTGGGGTCGGCGACCGATGATCAAATAATGATGTGTGGACTACTTCCATTCCCTACAAAGACCGAAACGTGCGGATTGCAATGGGAAAATCCGCCTCTAGGCGGCGTGATGCGGAAACCCTAAACGCCAACGTACCCTGACGTGCCGTGCCGTGCCCTGCGCTCGCGCCGTGCCCCAACTCTAGACTGCGAGAGATGCTCGTGCACATGCGCCGTCCCGTGCTGTGCCGTGCCGGGCCCGCGTGCCGTGCCGTGCCGCGCCGTGCCCACATGCCGGAGCACGAAACATGGGCCGTGCCAGGCCGCGGAGTGCCGTGGCCAGCATGCAGAGTGTGAGTGTGATAGGCGTGCCGGGGCCGGGCCGGGTCCATGTGCTGCACCGTGCCTGCGCTCCAGAATGCGAGGGCTGCGCACGCGCCGTGCCGTGCCCGGCAGATGCGCAGGCCCTGCCGAGCCCGCGCGCCGTGCCACGCCAGGCCGCGCCCACGCTCCATAGACTACCGGGAGACGTGCAGAGGCATGCCGCGCCGCGCCCGCCTGCCGTGCCCGCGCGCCGTGCCGTGCCGTGCCCTACTAGGTGCTAGCAGGCGCGCAGCGTGCCATGCCGTGCCGGGCCGTGCCGTGCCGGCTGCCTGTGTTCCAGTGTGCGGAAGCTGTGCCGTGCCGTGCGCACGTGGCGTGCGGCGCGTGGCTTCTCGAGTCCGAAGGATGTGCCGTGCCGTGCCGTGCCGTGCCCAGGTGCCGATGCGTGCCGTGCCTACGGTCTAGAATGCACGAACAAAAAAAAACGTGTTCTCCTGCCCCCACCCACAGGGCGGCCACGGCTGCACGGGACCTCGAGCGATGCGCAGCACCACAACGGTGCAGCGGAGACGAGCTGGGCAAGCGAAGAGAACAACGCAACTTTTGGTCCCACCACGGATGGCAATACAGCTGTACACCGCTTGGGCACCGAAGAAAACAACACAACTAGGAGGATGGCAGCGGAGGCGAGGACGAAGAGCGAATTGGACAAAGGTGACGCGACGCGCCGTGCCCGCGCGCCGTACCATGCCGTGCCGTGCTCGGTGCCCTGTGGCACTGACCACCCACTCGTGAGATTGACTAACCACGTGCGTTCTCATGCAGCGTTGCTGCGTGGGGCCTCTCTGCACGGTGTACAACTTTCAAACCACTCCGAAGCATCCACGAACTTCCAGAGACCTCTGGAGGCCTTCGGAACTTCTCCACTCCTAAACACACACACACACACACACACACACACACACACACACACACACACACGCATTAGCCAAAATTATCCTACCTGCCTCACCCCCCCCTCCTCTCCGACCATCCGCATCGTGAGGAAATAATGGCGGGCCACTGATTGTTAAATTTCGGCCATGGGGGGCGCAGATGGGAAATCGCGAAATCTGGAACACTTGTGAATATTGCAAGTTGGCTACCATGGATTCGCATAGCCTCCCGGAAAAAAGCCCCAACGAGGCCCCCTAGGAGTTCCTAATAACACCGAGAGCTGGACGCACGTTCGTGCCACGACGCCGCCCCCGTGTCACGTCACATGCATGCACCGCTGAGACCTATCAGCTCCCCAATAATAAACAAGACTGTCGAACACGGCAAGGGGCAAGCAACAACGAACGCGCAAGCTCCTGCCCCCCTGCCATCGCAGGCCGCCTCTCCCTGGACGAAGTCGCGACCGCTCCCCCCCCCGCCGCCCCGAAACAGCGAAGGGCACACGATTATGACGCGTGCCTGTTCGACAAGGCCTCCCCATGCCAGGGAAGTCGAGACATCCCCCGTCATCAGTCCGCCCTCCCTTCCCAATGCCTCTCTCTCTCTCTCTCTCTCTCCCTCTCGCTCTCGTCACCCCAGCCCTCTCTTCCCCCCCCCCCACATCCCCCACGCCGCCCCCCATCCCCCTACCCCTGCCCCACGCAGGAGTCCTAGACGCTCCCCGCTGAGCCCAGAGCGAGGCGCAACTCCAGAGCCGCGCAGGCCCCCTCACCCCGCCATCTCCGCGCCATTCCCGCACCATCATCCCTGTTCTTTGTAAATAACGCCACCCAGTCGCACCACGAGGCGTGTCGGCAGGGCTGGCTGGGCGTTTCGCCTGAGACGCCCTCACCATGTATGAACCAGAAGCTAAACATTTACAACCGCTTCACGGATGGAGGGCGGGCAGCTTCCAAAATGTGGATCTCGCCTCAGCGCTGCGCACATTCGATAAAAGTTCGCAAGGACTTCACGTATGGAGGCGGGTGGTTTTCAAACTGTGGCTCTCGCCTGAACGCCGCGCACATTCGTCTTAAAAGCTTGCAATTGCTTCACGGGAGAAAGGCGACACCTTTTCAAAATGTGGCTCTCGCCTGAGAGCCGCACACCCTCTTTCTAAGAGCTTGTTTGTTTAACAGTTCCAAGGGTTCTGGGTTATGATGGCTGCTGTGTTTCGGCACGATGCAGGGCTGCCAGGGCGCAGCAGTCACATTGACTCGCGGTGCTAAGGTCCCAGGAGGGATATTACGGCACGATCACGGATCTTCACGCAGCAACAATCACGTTGATTCGTGGCGTTGAAGTCCAGGGACGGTTTCTTGGCACGGTTCAAGATTTCCAAACGGCTGTCTTTCAACGGGGCACTTCCTCCAGTGACAATGAGTCCTTTTAGGGACTGGTGACGAGGGAACTTAGAGGGAGAGTTGGTTGCAACATCGTTGAGGAGTCTTGGGCTTGCATTGGTCCTCCAACTCCTCATTCTCCTTCGCCTCGTCTTCCCCCACCTCCCCCATGTATCCTCGCCCTCCCCGTCCGTTCCTTCTCCCCTTCCTGCTCCTCCTCCTCCTCCTCCTCCTCCTCCTCCTGACCCTCCTCCTCCTCCTCCTCCTCCTCCTCCTCCTCCTCCTCCTCCTCCTCCAATTCCTTTTCCCCCAAATCCTCCGCACTATCAACGTCATTGGCCATCATCATCATCATCATCATCATCATCATCATCATTCATCATCATCATCATCATCATCATCATCAGCATCATCATCATCATCATCATCATCATCATCATCATCATCATCATCATCAGCATCAGCATCAGCATCATCATCTGCATCATCGCCACCGTCCTCATCAACAATATCGTCATCATCAATATCAGCATTCGCAGCGTGACGGCCGCCCCCGTCGTCATCACAACAACCACGACTGTCATCGTCGTCGTCATCACAATCCTCATCACCATCATCAAGAGCATCGTCGGCATGACCATGAACATCCAAACATCATACTCCTCTCCCTCCCCCCCCCCCTCTCCCCCCCCCCACCCTCCCCCCTCCCCATCCTCCTCCTCCTCCTCCTCCTCCTCCTCCTCTCCTCTCCTCCTCCTCCTCATCATCACCAGCATCATCATCATCAGCATCATCATCATCGTCATCATCATCCCCTCACCCCATCTCCCCCTCCTCCACCCTCCCCCTGCACATCCAGAACCTCTGTCTCCTCCTCATCCTCCTCACCATCATCACCATAATCAGAATCACACCCGTCGACATCATCAGCATCATCATGAACAGTATCGCCATCATCGTCGTCATCATCATCACCACCAATAGCAACATCATCACCATCACCATCACCATCACCATCACCATCATCATCATCATCATCATCATCATCATCATAATCATCATCATCATCAGCATCATCATCATCACTATCATCATCATATGCCGCATCATCATAGGCATCATCATCAGCATCATCATCGCCATCGACATCGCCATCAACAATAGCATGATCATCAGCATCAGCATCACCATCGGCATAACCATCGGCAACTTTGTCAACACCTCCGTCAACAGCATCATCATCGTTGTCATCACCACTATTCTTGTGATCGTCAAAATCATCATCATCATCATCATCATCATCATCATCATCATCATCATCATCATCATCATCATCATCATCATCATCATCATCATCTCATCATCATCATCACCAGCACCATCAGCTCAATCATCAGCCTCAACAACATAATCAGCGCCACCATCATTGTGGTCGTCATCATCAGCAGCACAACAACCATCATCATTGTCACCATCAGCATCATCATTGCCACTATCATCATCAGCAGCAGCATCAGCATCACCGCCATCAGCATCATCGTCATGATCACCTTCACCATCACCGTTATCATCAGCATCATCGGCATCAGCATCATCTCCACCATCATCAGCATCATCACCATCATCATCACCACCACGTCCTCCACACTCCCCCACACATCCAGAACCTCATCCTCCTCCTCCTCCTCCTCCTCCTCGTCCATATCCTCCTCCTTCTCCTCCTCCTCCTCCTCCTCCTTCTCTCCTCCTCCTCCTCCTTCTCCTCCTCCTCCTCCTCCCCCTCCTCCACCTCCCTCTCCTCCTCCTCCTCCTCCCTTCCTTCCCTCCTCCTCCTCCTCCTCCCTCCTCCTCCTCCTCCTCCTCCTCCTCCTCCCCCTCCTCCCTCCCGCCATCACTCCACGACCTCTGCGCCCCTTCCCGCGGCGGGGGCCGCAGCCGACCGCCGCGGGGAACGGGCGGCAGACGGAGCGCGCCTTGACCCGCGCCCCCGAGGCCCTGCTGGCCGCGGGCGCCGCCGCGGCTTGCCGCTGCCGCGCCGCCAGCATCGACCCCTCGCGCCAGCACCCCGCAGGCCTCGGCGGTGTGGGGAGGGGACGCTGACACGGGACCTGGGCTTAGTGGGCCGTTTTTTTACCGGTTCCGTTTTGCCGTTTGTTTGCCGGTTCCTACGCTGCTTTTGTTGCTGGTTCCGTCGCCGCGTTCTTTTACGGGAATTCCCGCTCCGGTTCCGATCCTGGAGCCGTTTTTGTTGCCGTTTCCGGTCGCCGACTTTTGGGGCCGTTTCCATTTTCAAGGGGCACTTTGTCGGAAACGGTCAAAAAAACGGCCCTGCCGTTTCCGGGGCCCACTGAGGGGAGGGGACGCTGACATGGGACCTGGGTCCGTGCTCGTCCGTTGGCCTCCGAACTTACTCCTCCTGATCTGTAAGAGGAGGGAGGGGCCTCGGCGGAGTGAGGAGGGGGACGCCAGAGGGGCTCGAGGCCAGAGGCGGCTTTCCAGCCTCGGGGTGCCACCCTGCAGCTGCGCCTCGCCGGGGGCGTGCCGGGAGTGCCCAGGTCGTCCTGAGCGGCTGCCAGAGAGCCCAGTGATGGCCCGAAGCCCAGGCTGGCACGCAGAATGAGGGCCCGCCGCCGCGGCTCAGGCCTTTCCCTGGCGCCGCGCGGAGATCGGGAAGGGCCGGCCGACATTCTCCCTCCACGACAAAGCTGCAATCGCAGTAGCACGGGGCCCCTTGCTCGCGACCAAGGGGCGTGAAGCCTCCCAAAACCTCGGCGACAGCCGAGCGTCTGGTACACACTATGGTATCAGTCCTGGACAGACAGGCACCTTGCCCCCCCCTGGTTGCGGGTGCGGGTGCGCCCGCGGGCGGTCTGAAATGTGCTGTCAAAAGTGCCTCCAATTAACTCGATCCAATTCAATTGGAAAGTCCGTCAGCGGAGGGCACGGAATTTCACCCGGCTCCGCCGGGAAACAACATGTGTTCGACAAGATTCTGCCTTTGGGGTCCTTACCAAGGCCCAGGATTGCCGATGCTCGGCGCGGAATTCCTCCTAACGCATTCCAAAGAGTTGTCCCTCGCCCAGTCCACGTACGCGTCTTCCTTTTTCCATCCGGCTCTCCCTGCAGCTCCCCATGTCCTGTGATTGCTCTCCTTGTTTTCGTCCTCCTTCCCCCGATCGCCGAGAAATGTCTCAGCAAGAGGGTGAAAGCCGGAGCGCCCAGGCCAGCCTCCCGACTCGAAGCGAGTAGCGCGCCAACGGGCTCAAGCGGCACTCAAGCGGGCTTTCCGTGGAGGGGCCCCTCCACGAACCTGTCAACGCGGCGGCCGCAGGATCAGGCAGGGCGTGCCACAACAAGGGGGCGGAGAGCAGCAAGCGAGCGAAGTGACAAAGCCAAACCGATACCGACACGTACTTAACGGACGACCGTATGCGTGCGCGGCACAAAGACAGCTGCAAAGCCACAACTGGGCAGACAGCATAGTGCTGTTGCGGCGCCTCCTCCTCCTCCTGCTCCTCCTCCTCCTCCGCCTCCTCCTCCTCCTCCTCCTCCTCCTCCTCCGCCTCCGCCTCCGCCTCCGCCTCCTCCTCCTCCTCCTCCTCCTCCTCCTCCTCCTCCTCCTCCTCCTCCTCCTCCTCCTCCTCCTCCTCCCTCTCCTACCTATGGTAGTGGTGGTGGACAATCGGCCCATCCTTGCTGGCCCCAGGGCCAAGCCACAGGCCCCCAGGGCTGGACTCACGCAGAGGAAGTCAGGGAAAAGGAACCCGAAGAATAGACGGGAAAGCACAGGAGCCGCCCAGGACCTGGGCTTGCGTCCGACCGCCCGCCGCCAGCAGGACGCCTCGCCGCGCACCGCCGCGGGGGCCCGCGATAGACCCGCCCTCCCTCACGGAGCGGCCTCCTGTCGCGGCCTCTCGGCGCCCGCGGCGCCGAGGAGGGCCGGGCAGAAGCTGTGCACAAGGTAGGGGGTTCGAAGAAGAGGCGGAAGAGGAGGAGGAGGAGGAGGAGGAGGAGGAGGAGGAGGAGGAGGAGGAGAAGGAGAAGGAAGACGAGAAGGAAGGAGGAGGAGGAGGAGGAGGAGGAGGAGGAGGAGGAGGAGCAGGAGGAAAGGAGGAGGAAATGACGAGGAGGAGGAGAGAAGGAGGAGGAGGAGGAGGGGAGGAGGAGGAGAGAGACGAGGGAGACGGGAGGAGGGAGGAGGAGGAGGAGGAGGAGGAGGAGGGGAGGAGGAGGAGGAGAAGGAGGAGGAGACGAGGAGGAGGAGGAGGAGGAGGAGGAGGAGGAGGAAAGGAGGAGGAAATGATGAGGAGGAGGAGGAGGAGGAGGAGGAGGAGTAGGAGGAGGGAAGAGAAGGATGAGGAGAGGAGGAGGAGGAGGAGGAGGAGCAGGAGCAGGAGGAAAGGAGGAGGAAAGGAGAGGAGGAGGAGGAGGAGGAGGAGGAGGAGGAGGAGGAGGAGGACGAGAGGACGAGGAGGCCGAAGAGGAAGCCGCGGCAGCCGATCGCGGCCCCGTCGCTTCACTACCGAGGGCGGCGCCGCGGGGGCCCGCCGGGGCCCTCGCCGCGGGGGGGGCGGGGGGGCTGGCCGGCCGCTGCCCCCCCCCCCGGGCCGCCCCGCTGGCGCTGTGGAGCGCGGCGGGCGAACAGCGGAGGCCTCCATGATGGGCCTGTTTTCCACCACCACCACCATAAGCTGGAGGGGGGAAGAAGGTGGAGGACGAGGAGGAGGTCGAGGAGGAGCAGGAGGAGGAGGAGGAGGAGGAGGAGGAGGAGGTGGAGGAGGAGGAGGACCCCCTCCCCCTCCAACTTATGGTGGTGGTGGTGGTGGAGAACACGCCCATCACTCCAGGATGGGGTGCATCACCGACCAGGACTGGGCCCGCGAGCGGCTCTCCATCCCATGGCTTGGCGGTGACCTACGGCCGGACCCAGAACTGGAAAACGCCCTTCGCCGGCCAAACTGAAGAATATTCGAGGGTACCCTCCCCCAGGATGCGCACCGTCGGCCAGCAAGTACCAAAAAACATCAGGGCACCCTCCCCAGACCGACATGTATCTTATGCTTCGACCCGACCGTGCAATGGGCGCTGCCCGCCGCCACGGTGCTGCCGCGGCCTGATGGCTCTCTTGGCTGGGGTAGAGGACCGCGCCCCGCATCGGCGATGCTTCGGCGATGCATCGACGATGCTGCACCTGCGCGTCGACACTCTGCTCCTCCTCCTCCTCCTCCTCCTCCTCCTCCCCTCCTCCTCCTCCTCCTCCTCCTCCTCCTCCCCCTGCACGGGCGCCAACGGCGTGGAGAAACTCGGGCTCCACATCGAGCCGCATCGGCGATGCGGCGCGAGCCTCTAACCCCATCTGCTCGGACCCCATTTGAAAGGTCTAGATCAAGACAGCCAGAGGGACGCCCAGAGATTACACTTTTGTTTGATCCGCGGGTCGAGAACGCAAAATCGAAGGGGGAGGACAGGGGGAGGGCGCAGCCTCAGAGCGAGGCCAGGGAGGCAAAGCCTCGGGATCAGGCGGCGCACGCCCAGAGATTACTCCAGATTTCGTAATAAAAGGGAGGGGGTCTGGACCCTCCAAGACAAGCCATTCCAGACCTCCCCCGTGGGAGAACCCTCCAAAACATCGTCCCCAGACCCCCCCAGGCCCTCCAAGATAGCCTGGAAGAGACCCCCCCAAAAATGAGACCCCCCGCCCTTTATTACGAAATCTGGAGTACACGTCTTGAGAACATTTTAAGGCGACGGCGGCTCTTCGTCCTTGGCAGCCTCCGGGGGCCCTCGCCGGAGATGAACCACCGGGCCCAGGGGGCAGTGGTCGAGACCTCTGGGGGCCCCGTCTCGACACAAATCCGAGCACCGGGTGGCTGGGGCGGGGGGGGAGGGCAGGGAAACCCTCCCTCCTCCCCCCCTCCTTCTCCTTCCCTCCTTCTCCTTCCCCCCCTCCTCCTTCCCTCCTTCCCTCGTCTATGGGGGAGGGGGAGGGAGGGAGGGCGTTGCAACTTTCTCGCCCCAGGCGCTTTCGCAGTAACCGGGGCCCCAGGACCCCACGAAGCGATCCCGCTCGAAGGACGGCGCAGGAGACGGGGTCTGGGGCTCCGGTCGTGATGTCCTGCGATTTCGCATTTTTTCGCATCGTCGGATCTGCAGGTGCTGACGTTGGGGAGGTGCAGGAAGCAGGGGGTGAGAAGGATACGGATCCGAACATGTGGCGACATCGGAACCCTAACCCCACCAACCATCGAGTTGCCTGCCTAGATGAAAGGCGGGGGTAGGGCTCGGAGTTCGCCAGGTGTTCGACGACTTGCGAACCCTACCCCTGCCGCCCATCGAGCTGCCTGAATCGTTGATCGGCGAGGGCAGGGTTCGGATTTCGCCTCCGACCGAACGAGACCCCTCACCTCCCAAACTTCACTCTAGTCGACCCGTATCAGAAGTCTGCACGGTAAGCATGCAGTGGCCTTGGAAAGCCGCCTCAAAGTTTTGCGGGCAGGGCGCAGCCAGCGCAGGTGGCCAAGGATGAACCGAGGAGGCAAGGATGCAATGGTGCCCTTAGGAAACTTGTCCCTCCTTAACCCCAAAGGGTCTTTAATAAACCCCCGGGCAATAATGGGAGAATACATAATTTGTCCGCCGGCTGATTGATGGATTGGGACCCCGACAATAGTTGGAAATTAATTATTCTCGTCGGCGGATGCATGAGAGGTCATGAGAGGCGGGAGGGGGAGGGGGAGGGGGAGGGGAAGGAGGAGGAGGAGGAGGAGGAGGAGGAGGAGGAGGAGGAGGAGGAGGAGAAGGATGACGGAGGGGAAGGAAGAGGGAGGGGAAGGAGGAGGAGGAGGAGGGACGAGTTTCTATTCCCCCCCGGGAGCTTAGGGGGGGGGGGCATCATTAAAGACCCTCTGCGGTTACTGTGCGGGCTGAATGCATCCTCACTCCTCCTCGTGCCGCCCCCCACCCCGGCGGAGGGCCCCACGGGCGCGCCGCGGCACACGGCGGCGGGAGGCGCGCGCACCCCCACAGCGGTCCCGGAGCGCCGGGC